GGTGGTGGGGGGGGAGGGCGGTGGAAGGCGGGCTGGCCGGTCCCCTCTGCTGCAGCTGAGGAGGAATGCAGATGTCAGGAATGAGCAGGAAAACTCTGCTGGGTGCGCGTAGGAGCATCCCTGGGCTGGCCGTGCTGGCTGCTGGCGTGGTCTGGCTCAGCAGCTGGCCTGGAAAGCTACCTCGGAGGATGTTCTTGGCCCTGCTGCCGGAGGGAGGGTTTGCCCTGGGGATGCCGTGCCTTGGCAGGCTGCAGTGGGCCGTGCCGGCGCTGACCCAGCTCTTCTTGCAGCCCCACCGCCCCCTCCACCGATGCTGCGAAACGGGGGGCGTGACGCCCCCCCACCTCCGCCCCCTTACAGACTGCACGGCTCCACCGAGCCCCCGAGCCGAGGGAAGCCGCCGCCACCACCCATGAGGACGCCGGCCGGGCCACCACCGCCACCTCCACCGGTGCGGAACGGGCACCGGGACTCCATCTCCACCGTCAGAGCATTCCTGGGTGAGTGGGACCCCGGGTGTGGGTCTGTGCTCGCAGGGTGGGGGGCTGGAGCTGGAGCCACTCGGCTTTAGCCGTGCTCGGGCAGAGCAGCCTCCCTGACCTGCCTGGTTTTCCCTCTTCTCTGCAGATGACTTTGAATCCAAATATTCCTTTCATCCCGTCGAAGACTTCCCAGCCCCAGAAGAATATAAATACTTCCAGAGAATCTACCCCAGCAAAACAAACAGAGGTAAGGAGGGAGGAGGTATCCTGCTGTCCCGTGTGGCCTGGCTCCCCTCCTGCGCTCTCGAGGGTGGCGGGAGGTGACAGCAGGGCAGCCATAGCCACCCGCTGTCCTTTTTGTCCCCGCTCAGGGTGGATTGTGCGGGGGCTGATATGAGCTCCTGATCCGCGTCCTTCTCTGTGCAGCAGCGTTGCCCTGGGGCACACACACGGGTGAGAGCCCCAAAGGCCGCCTGGTGTGCTTGGGGGGGGGGGGCGAGGATTCAGGCTGTGCGGATGTTCTGCCCCACCTGCCCCCTCTTCTGCCTGCTCAGCCTGCGCAGAGAAACGCCGCAGGGCTTGTTCCTGCCTGCGCTAAGCGCCTTTGGTGCTGGAGCAGTTACAAAAGGAGCCCAGCAGCCCGCTCCGTGGCTGAAGCTGGAGTTGGGCAGGGGCCGGGGGGGGTAAAGAGCCCCTGCGTGTCCCGGGACGGGGCTCTGAGCCCCAGGTGAAAGCAGGCTGCACAGGCGATTTGTTCCTGAGCAGAGAGACGGACCTCCTTCCCCTTCCCCAGGCGGACCCTCCCCATCCCCTGCCCCCCAGGATCCTGCATGAGAAACTCCCAGCGTCTTTGGTTTTCCCAGCTGCGCCAGGACGAGCAGATACCCCTAGCCCAGCTCTCTCCGCCAGCCCACCCTCATCTACGCATCTCCCCCGGGACTCGGTGACCCTGCTGGCAGACCTGCACGGGTCCTTTCCTCCTCCCTCGTCGCAGATCCTGGGTTGGGCCAGGACCGTGCGTCCGGCCACAGCCTGGGAACCGGGCACGAGGACTTGGGGTGGATGCTGTTGGGACCGGAGGTGGTTCGGCACCCGATTCCTC